TCCACTGTCCTTTTTGCTGCATGTCCTTTTTCATATTTCAAATGTTGAAAAACTTTATCTTGTAATAGAAAATTATGACTAGCAAAAACAGATTTAAGGTCAAGATCTAGTAAATGAAAGGGGCCTACAGATTTCTCAAAATTAAGAAATAAATTCTTTTAATGGTGCTTTATAACTTTAGCTTGGTCAAATAAGGTGTTTAGGGGCATAATTTGTAGATGAACAAGACGAAAAATCACATTTTGAACTGTTATTTTCAATGAAAAATTAAGAAAACCAGTCATGAATATGGGAGTTTTTTTCCATATCAGACAAAGAAATGCATCCAGATTGCCTACAGTCTCTCAGAAAACGATAATTTATATGTTCTTGGCCTCTTCTTTAAAATAATATTAAATTAGATATAGATTCCGGGATTACTTTTCACATGATTTCAAATTGAATTCCATGAAAGTACTTTATTTTCTACAAAATTCTACTAGAGCCGTAAAGTACGGGAATAATAAAGTTAAAATTGATTATGACGTCATAATGGATCTAGCACTAAAAATCTATTCTAAAGTCATTTACTAGAACTTGACCTTAAGTACTGTCTTAAATATAAATGATTTGATAAATAAACTACATTGTACTCGGAAAAGAAGAAGATGGAAATACTTATTCATATCTGAAATTGTTTAAATAACTTTAAACTTGTGTGTTAGTAACTTTAAAATTCGCAAAAGCATTCTCGTGTTTTCATTCAAGATTATAAGGTTGCTTTTTTTTTTTTTTTTTTTTTTTTTTTTTTTATCAGTGAGAGGTTATCAGCGTCTGTAAGAGAGGGAATGAGTCACTGTGTTTTCTTATCTTAATTGGCTAATTAATTGACTGAGACATCTCTGATTTGCAGATGTGAGGTGTAAACTGTGAACTACCTAGTGTTTAACTTTCATTCCAATGAAAACAAACAATATTATTAAAACAATTAATAGCTCTCAAAACACTTATTTTAATGCAGAATGGAATTGTGTTATTAGTTAAATTACTTAAAGACACATTTAATTTACATGTTTATTACTAAGAGTTCGTTCTAATTTACTTATTTTCTTGAAAAAGACACATACAGGAATGTTTAATGTGTACTGTCACCATACGGGCAGCCCAAATACTTCTAATTAAGTAATTCAGAATAAAATATTAAATAATTTTTGCAACAAGTCAATAAATATGGAGGTTCAGATCCAAGGTTGAAAGAAATTCAATTTCCATGGTAGAGAATCTCTCATTTGGGCATTTAGTGAGAATGTTAGCCAGAATAAAACCTTAAAATATCTGCACTGAAACTGCACGAACACATTCAAACTTCAGTGGATAATGACAACATTAACCATTTAAATATTGATTTGATATTTGAAGTGATAAAAACTTGGAAGTAATCGATTATTAATCGATTACATCTTCCAAAGTAATCGATTATAATCGATTACAGGGCAAAAATGAGTGTAATCGATTAATAATCGATTTTATAGATAAAGTATTCAGTAGTTTTCAATGAAACTTTCACACAAAAAAATGAGTTATCATATGGACTTTGTTATCACAAGTAAAATTTGGAAAATTCTCTTCTGGTTCCAAATTTTGGTCAAGTTATGAACTGAAGACTAATAAGAGATTAAAGACCATGTCTTCTAGATTACCAGAATCTCCTTTTCGTGTGTCGTCACTACTTCCGATCGCTACGGGAAGCAAATTTAAAGAATCGAATTTTTCAAATGTTTTGTTTTTCAATATATTTCGATGATATTAGTAGGGTTAGTAGAGGCTCTTCTCAGAAAGCATAACATATAATTTGTTTGAAAACTGATAATAAATATAATAATTATTATTAATATTTTTTTTAAAAAAACATTATGCACGCGATATCTCGAGAACTATTCAGTGGACTTACGTCAAAGTTTCAGGGATGATGCATTTTAAAAAGCCATTGTTACTTTTGAAAACATTTTGGAAAACTCACTTCTTGTTCGATGTTACGGGCAGTTTCCTGATTTTTAAATGGATTTTTTTCCGCGGCAGATCTAAAGAACAGCTAAAGATTTGAGCTGGAGACTTATTAGAGATGATAGAACATGACTTATAGAATTGTAGAGTTGCCTTTATATGTGTGTCAATAGTTCCAGTCGCTATCGGAAGCGAATTAAAAAAGTTGAATTTTTCAACTTTTTTAGCTCTCAATATTTTTTAATAATTTTACTAAGGATAATGGAGACTCGTATAAGAAATGGTCTTGATAGTAAGCGTGTTCAATTTTCACGCGGGGGACCTGGACTCAATCCCCGGAATATCTGATTTTTTTTTTTTTGTACCTTCTTTTTCAGCTGAAATATAAACTGCATCTTTGAAATTATATCCGGTATAATTTTCCGTTCGAATTATGCGATATATTTTACAATTTACGTTTTATAGTATTTCATGTATAAAGGAGTTTAAAGGAATGCAAAACGTAATACAGATAGTGTTATAAGTGAGGAATCAATTTCTCTCATGACGGAGAAGGGACCTAAGACCTTCTTTTTGCCATGGCAATAAGTTTCTAGTTATTATTATTATTATTATTTTTATTATTATTTTCGTTTTTATTTTTATTTGACCTTTTCAAATCGCGATATCTTAAAAACTACAGATGATTTTCAGCCAAATTTTTAGGAATGATTTGTTATCTCATGCCATTTTGAAATATTGAAAAAAAATCTGAAAAATTTACTTCCGGTCAGGAATTATTCTCTGCTAAATGACAAATAAAATCTGAGTTGAAGTCCCGTGTTGCTACACTTGTACAGACTACAATTAATGAGACCAGAAGAGGTGTCATAGGGTATACGCCGCATTAACCTCTCTTTGGGGTGGTGAGGGGGGGATCAAAAGCTTTCAACAAATGTATCATTTGGTATATACTTATATCATGAGAAAGACGACCACCATAAGGAAAAAATGTAAGGAAAGAACTGTGTCGATATTTAATATACCTCTCAGGAAGCTAGGAGAATATCATATAAAAACAAAAATCAGAATGAGCAGAGAATAAAATTCAGTTAACTGGAAATAGGAGATAGATTCTTGTCAAAAAATTGAATTGAACAGCAAGGATGGGGTAGATTATTTTCAAAGTAATAGATAAAATTACCATAACTCTGAATTATAAAAATAATCGATGATAAGCAGATTTTAGCCATTTTCAAAATTAATTGATTACATTTGATTACTTTTCCCTTTTACATCATGTGAGTATGATGTTTTATAATTACTTAAGATTACATTATTTTTTTTTTAAATATTTTTTTCTGGTAAGTTCTTTTTCCGATTTTTGTTCAGAAAACATTTTTTTAACAGGACATCATATTCTGAAGTCAAAACTCATTTTACACATTTTTAATTACATTTATTCATCATTCACTTTCAAAGGTAGATTTTGATTAAGTTTTGGTTATTGTCATTGTTTAGCTGATCTTTTTATTTGAATCTCGTATAAAAGTAAATATATCTGTTTTTTTGTCAAGGATAAAAAAAAATCGCTAATTTATGAATTATATTGGACATTATTATTGGTCAAAATTTAAGGTTTCAACTTCAAACAAAATTATGATTTTTAGGAAGTATCACATCACAAAGGTACATTTAATTAAAGAAATCACTAGTATAATATCACTAAAGATTTACATAGAAACAAAATGCTGTGTAGATACATGTTGAAATAAACAAGGTCAAACATTAAAATGATCTTGTGGTTAAAAGTATATGTATCGAGTCTACACAAAAAAAAAAAAAAATAATAAATTATATTAAGCTGGTAAAGCATTTTGAAAATGATGATAAAATATAGCTAGTTTGAGAAGACTAACTCACTGCATGGTCTTCTGACCTGATTATAAAAATTCTTGAAGGCATTTTAAGTTCTAGGAAAAAAATGTCCAATAAACAATACTAATTATTATATTTATTGTTAATAGATTATTTAATTTAACTTGACTATTGAAAAAAAATGACGCCGCATTGACACAGGCGGCGCACTGGAATATGATAAAATGTAGCTCGGAACTTTAATTCACCTCAACAGAGGTACATTGGAAGACACAATTGTTTGAAACACTTGGATATATTCAAGGTCGTAGTGTTTGAATGACATAAGCAGTTTTTAAGGTATATGTGAAAAAAAGAAGCAAGGAAGAGACCAGCCGAATTAAACAGACAAAGAAATCTTCGTCTAACCTACACAGCGCAACCCCATTTGAAAACACGAACAAAAATCGCCCAGAGATACAGGAATTTTTTTATATATAATTTTAAAAAAGTATGTAATTTAAACTTTTTTGGGTATGGTTTAATGTTTAGCACATCATAACAATTATTATATTCATATTTATATCTTAAATCTTTATTGTAAAGTAGAAAATGTGATTCGGACGATAAGTGCATTTCCTCCCAAAGTTCGTACTGGTGACGTTTACTTTTTTTGTACACCCACAAAATATATAAAGATAAAATGATTTTTGCAAAAGATTTGACCTCAGTTTACTGAGTTTCGGGGCAACAGAAAATGAACGATATTTTTTTCTTTGTTGGTCTAGAGTGAAAGTTTTATTTTAAAGAAACGTTTAAGGCGCAAGACCCTTTTTTATAAAGTGATTAGGATAACATAAGAATTACCAAGCCCATTATAAGATATAGAAATTGGAATTTACGTAACAATAATCAGCACGGAAGTAAAAGATTAAAAGAAAAAAAATTAAGCAAATTATTATTAATTAAGGAAGAGTATATATCAATTGAAAAACGATCTAGAGAAGAAAAGAAATATGAACAATTCAATTTCCAGGAAAAATAAAAAAAAAATCTTCATTATATATATATATATATATATATATATATATATATATATATATATATATATATATATATATATATATATATATATATATATATATATATATTCTAAATTAAAAAAAAAATATAATACTTACCGTGGGTTTATGAAAATAGTCAATTTTGCTCTCAAACATGGCTAAATGTAAGCAAAATAAAGTTCCAGTTAGCACCAATATCAAGATTAGCATTCCCTTCATTTTGCCAACTGTAATAGTAGATGATAGCCTGTTTTTCGGCAAAGCAATTTTTTCTGCTATTTTCTTAGCGTGAGCAGAGGTACAGGCCAATTTAAAAGTTGCCATGCTTTACAAACACAACTTAGGAAAAACAGCCTGCCAGGCAACGAACCTGGATTAGTAATACGGGAGATGTGTCTAAAAATTAATATGAATCCAGTGCATGCAGTAAATTCCGTTGTGTACGAATTCCTTATAGTTTTTATTTTCCTCTAATTATATTGAAAAAACCAAAAACAAAAAATATTTTTGTCAGTAAGGGAGAAAAATGATATTCTTTCTTTTTACATATTTTGTCTAAGACTCAGAACATTTACAGGACTGTTAGTACCTGATCTAGATTCTATTCCCCGGATCTTTTCCTCATACATATTCATATTTTCGAAGGAGCCGATACATTAACACACAAACGATTTGTCAGAAAATGTTGAGTACATTTGAAGCATGATTATTATATCCACGCCCTCTATCCTTGGTGACTCTATAAATATCCTGCGATAACCTTCAGTGATTTGAAAGGTTCAAGGAATCATTTTTTGAGATGTATGCTAACTAGATTTTGATATTTCTTCAGTAACAGTGATCGAAAGGAGTTTGACATTTATTACCCGTAAGTATTTTTTGTACAATGTTGCATGTTTATTTTTTTCTCTCTCTCTTTCTATAGGGGATGCTGAAGAGGAGATGACAAAATTGTATCACACTACTGGCTAGGTCCACTAAAAATTGACATTGTATAAACTTAATTGGTTTGGGGACATAATCAATTTTTAATATGTTTTGTTTGCATCACAGTTCTGTTTAAATCTAGGAATACTATGAAATATTGAGCCTTGCTTAAAAAATGTTATACAGATTTTGTTGTTGTTGTTGTTGTCAAACATAAAATCTCATTAAACCATAAAAAATTATAAAATCGACCACCTTACATTTAACAGGTTCGACGGATAATTTTCTTGACATCGGTGTTAACTAGAACTTTATATTTTCTTAAGTATTAGTGATTGAGAAACAACAGTGTATCGCGCGATTTGATTGGCCCAACACACTGAAAATTTAGATAATATTGCAGTACACTGTAACTGCTTCTGGGATAAGCAACGTTTTCATCCAATGTTGGTCTTTTTTTTTTTCTCTCTTTGATATGTTTTATTTACATCGCATCTCTGTTTAAATATCCGATTGCTAAGAAAAAAAAAATAGAAAACAACTTTGGTACACAGATTTTCCTCCAGATGTAAAACCTGATAACTTGTACTCAAGTAACTGCTGAACGAATTAAGTAGAATCTCTAAATCCTAGTTTAATCGTAGCTTAAAGCAAGGATGATTCATTTAGAACAATGCCACATTTAATACATACATTATTTTCTCTGTCATTCAAAAAAAAAATTCTACTGCTAGATCTGCCTCTCAAAGCATGGGATTTGTAAAATTGCCAGATGAGGTAATTACTAGTTATTTGCTTATATTCACATTGTCGGATTTAATAGGGCAAACATGTTACATAAAAGCTTAAGGTACACTGTACATCTCATGTTGTAGACATGGGGACGGGGCTTAATTTATACAGAAAATGTTTACTGTCACACAGAATAAACTCTCTTTTCACAAACCACAAAAAAAATGCAAATGAATATTCAGATAACATCTAAACCTGTTATTTCGTGCACATTTATGGATAGCAATATCAGAATCAGTAAGGTATTAAAAATTGTCATAAAACTTTTCAATTTGAAATCATATTGAAAAGACTCGATTTATATGTCCCATGAGAGGCGAATCAACTATTTTTTTTTCTTTTAACTCATCGTTAAAAAAGGAATTCCTATTATCATTAATTTTAATGCAGTTGATATGCTCCTGTAATCGAGAATTCGGGGGCATATATTTTTTGTTCATCTGTCTGATTGTCTGTTTATCTGTTTGTCCGCAAAAACTATAACCTTGCCAATAAGTTTTGACTGGTGGGAGGTATGGTTTTCATATTTCACATGTGTTTTCCTTATGACAAGATTTTTCTTGGGTATCAATTTGACCTTTTGACATTGACCCTGGAGTTTGTCCCACTTTTGCAAAATTTTACCAAACTTTAACCTTGGCCAACACTTTTGAATATTTGGAGCTAGTGGTTTCATACTTCACATGTGTATCTCTTGTGACAAGACCTCCCCATTGATACCAACAATTTTAACCATTTGACCTTGGTCTTTGAGTTTGACTTACTTTTAAAAAATACTTTAATCTTGGCCATAATTTTTGAATGGTTAGCGCTAGAGCTATTATCCTTAACAGGTATATTCCTTTGGAAAGATTTCCCCTTGTGTAACAACAATTTATACCCTTTACATTAGCCTTGGCGTTTGACCTTTGGAAAAACCTCTGTTGGTGCAATGCCTTGCATATTTCACATGTGTATTTCTTGTGAGAAGACATTCCCTTGGGCACATATATATATAAGACAATGTACGATTTACTGTTGGTCGTAATTAATTAGCGATAATTAATTCGTTCAATTATGTAAATCACACTTCACCAGAGTACACCCGATAGACCGGACGCAATTCATAGCGTTCCGGATTTATTTGTTCACAACTGTTTATAAACTCCAAATTAAACATGTAACATTGTAAATAGTTAGTGTTTGGTAGTTTAGTAGTAGTGCTAGTTGTTTTTGCTTCTCTATTTCCTTTGTTTTTATGACTTCTTAACTTTTTTCTTTGTCCTGAGGAAGGAACAGGTCGTTCCGAAAAAAAATCCTCCGTAAAGCGTTAGGGCTTTCATTAAAAATCTTCAGAAGCTTTACATTACAAAAATCTATACACAACAGTAACATAATGATTATGACCTTAAACTAAGTGGAAAATTTAATATCTATATTTTGACGTCATAGATAAAATACTACAATGATCTGGAAAAAATTTCGAGAAAATCATAGGTAACCTATAAGATATTATTAATTTTGGGCTTAGGAATACAAATAAAATGTTTTTTTCTTTTTCCCGTCTCTGGATATCACAGGCACATCTGAGTTTATAAAAAGGGAAAATGTTAAATCGTTTTTCCACAAGTTTTCAGGTGTGCACTTAGCTGGATTTGTCTATATTCAAGTATTCTGATTTGTCGCTTATGTACACGTACATAGAGACTGTTGCCAGGCTCACCAATGTAATATTCTTTGCATCCAGGACATATGATGGCGTATATGACGTCTTTCGTATTACATGACATGTTTGCATAAACTTTAAATTCATGCCTCGTAAAATTATTTCTCATCCCTTCTGTAATGTAGTCACATGTACCGCATCATGAATTTTCATTCATGATTTTGATGTTTGTTTTTCAGCATCGATCACCTAAGTCACGTGATTTAGAGATCACAAATGGCCGTCAATTAAAGAAAAATTGAGGGTAGGCCTGTTTACATTAAGTTCCTATGCTTGTTTGTAAATGTAAATATCAGACTTAAGTAATAAATTCGAAGATTGTTTAATTTAAGTCTTTAAATAATTTTTATGACAAGAATTTTGATGCATTCACATTTTGCATATTTTGAATGTAAATCTTTACAAGATGCACACCGTATGATATTGATATATGTTTAATTAGCATTTAATTAAAAGTACGAGGGTTGTTAGGAAAGTTCGTGGACTACCGTCATAACCTTTTTACTTAACGTCATATTATATCCAAATATGGAAGAGATATTTCTAAAGTAAATTCAAATGATGTGTATTAATTTTTTTTTTAAATATCGTGGTCTGTTTCAAACTTATTTGACTTGAAAAAATGCGAAAATCGGTCCCTGGATCAGGTCAATTTTTTGTAGTTTACAATGAAGACACTAAATAATGACTGAAGTCATATCATCTGTAAAATGAGACAAAAACGGAAAAATTCAACACGTTCAAATTAAGAATTGCTTCATCGTTTCCGATCCCAAATTATGACGTAATATTTTGCTTGGTTGAAAAAAAGCTGTTTCAGAAGATAGGTAGTCCTCATTGAAAAAGGCAAAAAGATGACGTCGTAGAACTTATCGGAGCAGCAGTTAACCATATAATTTTGTGTTGTACTTTGGAAAACTCCAGAAAAAAAAAACCCTGAAAATGCCGGATGAAGTAGGAAATATGTCAAAAGCGAGCCATGAATGTGTGTACATGGTACAAGCGGTACAAGCGGTGATCTGTGAGAAAACGGATTATCTGTAAAAATCTTATTAAACATTTAAAAGTTAGTAAAGTCACGCTAAGAGTTTGGCGCTTCACAGATTCTGATATTGTGAAAGCACACTTGTGCAGTGAAAATAATATATAACATTGACAAACAAAAGGATGCTACTGGTGCAATTATTAGCAAAATAGATTTCAAGTGATAGAGAAACGTTTTTAATGAGTGCACTAGTATTGGGCAATACTGTGTGAAATGTATAGCGATAGTATTTTTGAGAACCTCAAGTCGATACGTTTTTGACGTTACAGTGTTGTTGAGTTTGCTCCGTGGTTACAAAACGTGTTGATTTTAATATCAAATATCATGAATTCTATTAAAGCACATGAAATGAAACTTTATACATCAACAAATCGAATATTTTTACATATGGGAATGTGCTTATTTTAAATTTCTTGAAGATAGTATAACGAAGACTGGCATAGTACACGAACTTTCCGAACAACCCTCGTATTATTTCATATATATTTACATGTATATTGTAACAATGTATTGTTTCTATTGATGTGGTATCTAGTTTTATGCATAAAATGCCCAAGTAAGAAATGAGCTTTCTAAGTTTCTATTGAACTATAAAAGTTGTGTATCAAATGTTGAAAGCATTGAATGGATTTTGTTCATGATTAAATAAGAAATTAAGTTGCAATTAATAAAATAAACTATACATTTGCAAAAAATTAAGAATTCATTAATTTACAGAATGAAAATAGTATTGGAAGTACATGTTTACTATTCATATAAATAGTCAATACATAAAACCCTGAACGGTTGTCTTAAAAAAATATGTCATATTATTAAATAATGGTAAGAATTGCTTTGATTTCATTTAATTACGCATGTAAAACAATATATTTAATTAAAAAAAAATGCTATCTAAACTATAATACACAAACATGTATAAGTCGAGGACCTTGCCCCCCCCCCCCCCCTCCTTTTACTGTGCATATCAGAAGTTTTAGTATTTCCAGGGACTAACAGTCTTCTACATTATCCCAGGTACAAGATGGATCCTAAAGGTTTGACGCTCCTTTTTCAATCTTGAAACCTTAGAGTTAAATTCTCTTTCAGTGCCACGTCAAAAACTAAGGTGTTTAACAAGGGTAGGGACAGTTCCTTTGCTAAGTCCTCAGCATTAAAAAGAAAAAGTCATGGGTCTTTTGGATATTATCTTTAAAAAGGAGGCCCCGTCCCATGGTAGACGTTGGTCAATAATGAAACCTTGCATAAATCAAAAATTGTTACACTTTATCTTTAGTGGACGATTTCTTTATCTGGTTGAAAAATTCTGAAATGGCGTAAAGCAACAGTCAATTATCAATCACATGTTACATTTAAGAACCACGCTCCTCTCTGGCATTTTATTTTCCAAGACAGAATTGCTGTTCGTGAGTAGTTATTTTTTCCTGCAAATATCGTAAAAATGAAGCAAAACGTTTTTACTTACATATCATAACCACCTTTAACCAAACTCATGATTTGGTATTCACTTTTTATGTTAATAAGAAGTTTATATGCAAAGAGCAATAGACGATAAGGATCTCAAATGGACCTTTAAAATGAATATCTTAGTTTTACTTTATATATAGCTTTACTTTGCATAGCTATGCACATGACCTTTATTCGTCGATTTCAATTTGATCAAAATGCCATTAGTTTAGAAATATGAATTTATAAAGTTCACTTTTTCTTGCTATTTTAGCATATTTTGTATAAAACTACTTTTATTTCAAGCAGTTTTTCTTTCAGAAATATTGAGCGCAGACTTGAACAAACTAAATATTTTACCAAAGATGTACCTATTTAAGGCTAATTACTAACAGAAAGAATTTTTGTATATTCAAAGCTGCGCTCTGTGTTTCCCATAAGAAAAACATCAAGAAAAAGGCATGTTCTTGACTTATTTTGATTGGATTCCACAAATAAAATAATTTCTGACGTCATTTACAGCCTGTGAGTGCATATAAAAGTGAAAAATATATTGGAAATATCTCTAATATAATCTCTAATGTATAAAAACAATTATGCATATCTGAATCACATTTTAAAAAGTTGCTTCTGAGGGACCAGAATTTACTCTTTTCATATAGAGTCCTTTTGGTATTGGCTAAAGGTGGTTATGACATGTGTAGGAGTTACCTAACACACCTACTATCTTTAGTTTTTCCATTACCCTAAGGCTAATACGGAACAATAGTACCTTAGCTTGTAACCCTATTCATAACAAATACTATTGTTTCATTAACCACTCAACATTTATCATTAAATTGGAAAGTTAGCCTACTGACTTATGCAGTTTAAAGGGAAAATAGCTATTTGAAAATTTGAAGTCATTGTAAGCCGCAAAATGGCCTTATAGAGAATGATCATTTGCAGACTTAATAAATTTGTATTATCTGAACATTGCTAAAATACACGTACATGAGTTGAAATTATATGACACAGATCTATAGTCATTACCTTCATACTTTTTCGTTAATTAAATTGAAGTAAACAATAAGTGTGGACGGTCGCTTGCGTGGTGCAGTGGTGAGAATGAAGGTCTTGCTTTATTCTAGAGTGGCGGAGAAGAGGGATTAATCCTTACTTCACGGACTCGAATCCCATTGCAGGACGTAGAGCTGGGTCCTTTGGATAAAATCGTGTAAACAGAGGTCAGGTGAAAAAAGGAGAAACTGGTGAGAAAAAATGTCACTGCTCAATGTTCCTATAAACCGAGTACATTGATGTAGTGGCTATGACCTCTCAAAAAGTTGTTTTTCCCATAAAGCAAACTAACAACCAATCATTGTAGTTGTTCGAATGTACTTCGCTTATGACAATGATATTATAGATAGCTTATTATATAACTAGCTTCGTTTGCAGCTAGAATACACAATATCTTACTGTGTACTGTGTGTGCAGCAAAATCTCTAAGTTTATATAGTAATGAAACAATAAATGCCTATGAAGTGTACACGAAAAGTATCAAATTCAAATTCAAACAATGAGATGGGATATTTGGTCAGAGACTTAAAGTGTGGAGTGAACTACCCTGGAAAGGTCCAACTTCTCAGGATCCTGTGTTTTACAATTTGCCGGCAATCAAAATTGAATACAAAATTGTTAACACAGGTGGTAGATGACTCTCTGAGTATGTCCATATCCAAAATATTAAGCATAACCTTATATAGCATCAGACGTACATCTACAGGGATGGGGAGGGTGATTACCACTTGCAGGATCTATACCCTATTTAGTTTAAGAAATGTTGTTTTTTTCTTTCCAGAGGTAAATATTTTGAAAATTTATTAATTCATTTATTATTATCATTTTTTTTTTTTTGTGGGGGGGGGGGGTGGAGATTAATTGTTATCTAAAAGAAAAAGATATAAGTTGGTTAAAATAAGAATATGATCTGTATTTCATTTTAAAATTACATTATAAAAGATGAGGAATACTTCTGAGCACTTTGATGGATATTTAATACAATCTTTATGTCTTGGCATCTGAAAATGATAAAGAATTCTTAATGTTACAGATTAAAAAAAATATATAGTTTACGATGTAATATGAAAACTTGAATTTTCATGGAAACCGTGCCCAATTTTTTTCATGGTCAGTCAATCGATATTCGTGTGTTCTCTTATTTGAACATTTTCTTTTTAATTTTTAAATGAAATATGACCAATTTGGTATAGTTTTTTCTTATAATTGCATGCTTTGTCTAAATCTAAAATGATATATTGTAAGAAGACCTGAGTTTTTATCAAAAGCTTCTAACTTCATACTGGAATATTTACATTTACCGATGTCTTTTCTTATATGATAATGCTAATGAAATTGGTATTTCCTTGAGATGTTGTTTGTCACGCGATTACACTTTCTTGTGTGTAGAAAGGAGACCGCACGAGGCATTTGGAAGATCATGACGCCTTACAAGTATGTTAGTTGCATTTCAATAAAGGAGTCTTTGTAAAAGAAACAGCCCCGTTACAGGCCGCAGCTACAAAATACTAGGGAACTTGTCCTGTCAAACAGACAACTGCATTTATCTCATCAGTTGCAAAGTTTGCTCCAAACAGTATGTTGGTGAAACAGGAGATCTCCGCAGGAGAGTCAATAATCACCGTTTTACCATTAGGACCAAAAACTCAATGAAGCCGTTGGGGAACATTTCAACCTTGAAGGTCACAAATGGGAGGACATGACAGTAGTGGTTATTGACCATAACCCAAGATGGACAGATGCTCAGAGAAAAGGCAAGGAAAAGTTCTGGATGCACATGCTGAAGTCATCCCGCCCTTATGGTATTAATAAACTTAATTACTTCACCAGGATGAACGTGAACTAGACCCAATCCCGGATTGTAACAAAGAAGTTCATTCTCTTTATATAGTGTAAACTTTACCGTTAATTCGCATTAGCAATTCTGGGACAATCTACCCAAATATTTACAGCTTACATTTTTGATTATTTCTTTTATCCGATTTCCAAATTTATAATATATCCAAATTCATATTTTAGAATTGCCCATCCATATTGTTTTTCTTTAATTTCTTTTTATCAGGTATAGTTACGCTATTTTGAGAGAATAGGACAATTAATGTACGATTTACTGCTTGGTCGTAATTAATTAGCGATAATTAATTCGTTCAATTATGTAAATCGCACTTCAACAGAGTACATCCAATAGACCAGACGCAATTCATAGCGCTCCGGATTTCTTTGTTCACAACTGTTTATAAACTTTGAATTAAACATGTAACACTGTAAATATTTAGTGTTTGCATTGGTAGTTTAGTAGTAGTGCTAGTTGTTTTGTTTCTCTATTTCCTTTGTTTTTATGACTTCTTAACATTTTTTCTTTGTCCTGAGGAAGGGACAGGTCGTTCCGAAAATTTGACAATTATTATTGTTCGTGTCGTTGGTCATTTTTAGTGCTTTATATAAATTTCCATCCTTGACCTTGTATCTACTTAGTAGATCCGACACTTAGGATATACAGTGTTGTTGGTTTTTAGTGTATATATATATATATATATATATATATATATATATATATATATATATATATATATATATATATATATATATATATATATATATATATATATATATATATATATATATATGAAAAATATTCAGAGAACGAGTAAACCATAGGGGCTTTAATTTCTTCTTCATGAAGAAAGCGCCTGTTTTACTCGTTCTCTTTTTTTTTTTTTCATGTTTGAATATTTTTCATATTTATCACCGACCACTGTGATTTTTCTTGGATATGTATATCATCTTTAAGAGTTTAAGTGGGGTATGACATTAAGTTGGTACGTTAACTTGATCAAAACTATTATAACGCCCTTCATAGGATACGATCAAGTAAACAACTCCATGTCATATCCCAATGAAACTCTAAAAGTAAAATTTATTTCTTGAGTGTTCTCTTAAATTACCATAGCTTTTTTTTTTTAATTTTTCAATGAACTATGGCAAATTTGGTAATGTTCTTCTGATAATAGTATATTGTTTCTAAATCTAAATGATATATTCTTACAAGAAAACACGATTTATTATTCATTAAAAACATTTATCATCATATTGGTATGTTCTGTTAACTGACCAAAATTTTCTTTTTTTTCCCGATGATATATGGCTATTTTTGGTATTTTTTTTCCTTGTAATAGCATGTGATTTCTAAATCCAAGAAATATTTCAATTTTCCAGAGTATTTGGAAATGTTATATTCATTTTGTATTCTAAATGACAGTTAAAATGTCTTTGTGTTTGAATAGTAAATCCCGATATACAATATTTAACCAAGCTATGATTATGATCATTTGAGAAATTCATTTCTGAAAATTTGAGAAAATATAAGCTCCTCTTATTCACTAGATCTTTCAAATGTCAGCGTAATATATTCAAATTCATGCCACCGTGGAATTGTTTACTAAACAAAGCATGAAAATATCAGTTTAGAGAAAGTTACCCCAGTTCTTACAGATTAAGCACCGATCATTATGAAAATTAAGGTCAGGCGACACGTTCCTCAATTATATATAATATTTTCCAAGAATTTGTCATTGAAGTATTGCTACTTTAACAAGTTTCCTCACAAAAAACTAATGTATACCTTACGAGACATTTGTGTAAGATACCAGAGGATGCTATTTACTATATAACCCCATTTGAAATCACTAGTGTTGCAAGTATCACGACTTTTTTGGTGTCTCTATCTACTTAGTCATTTTAAAAATAGCTTAAAATTCACAAAATAATGATAATTATGATAAATTTGCTGTATATTTTGAAGAAATACAAAACGGATATTTGGGCAACGTGTCGCCAGACTTTAAATTAATATTCATCATGTTAAAATTTGTTGCAGGTTTACATAAATGTTTTCATGATTTAAAAGGATTTCATTAGTTTAGGACTACATCATCACAATAGGAAATTACGTAGAAGGTAGGAAACAACAACACCTGTTTTGTTTTGAACATATTGACTACATCAAAATGATAGAAAACAAGTTCTTGTATCTTACTAGTTCATCGCCTTATATATTATATGTCATGCAAATTAATGAAAAATAAAACAGTTGATACAAGTAAAAAACGATTTAATAACATATGGACTAGGATAATCTACATCTTTCGTCAATAAATTTATGAACAGCAGCAAAAATATTGTTTTTTGACACATAATAGTAGATTTATATTTATACTGACCGATTCAATGAACAAGCGATTGAGAACGTTACTGCTAGCATTATGATAATATTTTGCAGGCAAAAAACAAATTGTACGCATCTTCATGTTTACGTAAGCATAAACATAAAGGACTAATTATAATATTTCATTTATATTAATCATAGAATACAGTAATGTCTTTGTTTAGTATGAATGATATTGAAATATCGCTTACCAAAAGAAAAGTACGGTGTGGATATTTGATTTTTTTTACGATATTATTCGGAATGAATTGATAGAGATGACCGAGTATTTTTTTTTTTTATACGCACTACTTACAACACCATCATTGTATACTGACCAACTAATGTTTTGTGAAAATGAAATACCAAGAAGGCCATAGACTGGAACACAGTCAAGTCTGTCGCCTTTGAAAAAAGAACTTTGGCATAACAAAAATGTCTTTATTACTGAAATATACAACCTAGATTGAACTTAAGAAGCCGCTTGATTGACCATAGTTCCAAAATATGTAAATCATGATGTATATCTTTTGTATTCAATAGATTTGTTGTATGATGAGTGTTGAAGTGAGTTGTCATCAGCAAACAATCTACATATTGAACGAAATATACGGAGATAGCGAACAGTATTCAAGCTCAAAAGTCCATTAAACAATACAAAATAGAAGCAGAGCAAATACGGACCTCCAAAACATCAGAGGTGTGACCAGGTGCTATGGAGGAGTGAGCATCCCCTGCCGACCGGTCACACCCGCCGTATGCTCCTTGTCATGATCGGGAAATAACGGAAAAATCTTTCGACAATTCAGTGTGTAAATAATAGCCTAACAATTAATATGAAAAACGTCAGTCAGCATTTGACTCAATGATAAATTGTATTTGCTGACAAGGTCATTGTATCGACCATAGAACTTACGAAATGATGACTTTAAACTAGACTGTTGATATTCTTGTTTCATCAACTTGTTTGTCAATAATTTACCTCGTTTTAGAAATTGTACATACGTAGAGCATGCTCTTGCGTATCGAAGTCATATTTGAGGTGTACTAAAAGATCTGCCTGTTACCTAAAACACCTATTTTATGAAACTCGGAAAAACACAAACAGTTGTTACTCGACAGTACAGAAGACAGGGGCAGCTGCTGATATACAATTTCACAAGTCTTCTCCACAACCTCGGGACAGCACTTTAACCGTTTTCCTAGAGGTCAAGAAATAAATGTAATTCCTACTATATTATATGAATAGTAATTATGCATATTGAATTGTTTCCTGATTTTTAATTCTTCTTGATTATCATGAAACAGTCGAACGTTCACAGGATTAACTGTTGTATAGTTAAACCTTCAACATAATATTACATTAACGGGTGCTCATAAACATTTATTTGGTTTGTTTATATTGTATCTTAAACTTGATCAGATCTATTCTTTCCTGCTGTTTATGACTGTTTAAATGCATGATATTGTGTCATTTGCTGAAATACAAGAGAGAGAGAGAGAGAGAGAGAGAGAGAGAGAGAGAGAGAGAGAGTTTACCAAAAGATATTTTCGTTAAAACTGTTTAAAGAAAGCTAATTGAAGGTGC